CAATCGTTTAATTCACAAATAAAAGAAGAATCAGACAAATTCAAAATAATAAATCTAATTATTAACGAAATACCAAAAAATTGCGTGATATCCGAAATACTATTATCATTTCTGTAATACTCACGAATTGTATTTGGAAAAGCGATATTCTGCAATACGTTTTGGAAAACTTTGAGCCATCTCAAGTAACAAATAAATTACTTTTATTCAGAATTTCCAATAAATTCTCAGTTTCAATGCACACATTAAGTCTCCATCGTTTTGTAAACAAAACGAAAGATTAGAATTCGTTATCAAAACAATTTTAGATATAAAAGAAGAATATTTAGAATACGTACCAAAAGCTATTTCAATATCATAAACACATTTCTATTGTTATAAAAGTCTTAAGTGCTTGTGATCAGACAAATCTGTTTTTCAATAAGACATCTTAGAAAAAAAAATTGTAATTTGACTATTTCAATATCATAAACACATTTCTATTGTTATAAAAGTCTTAATATCAAATGTGTAGTGATTCCGTCCCGATTAAAAATTGAGTACTTTCATCCCGATTTATCGGGATAAAATTGAATACTTTTATCCCGATTTCCCGATCAATTCCGATGCTGCCTGGACACACGAAAATTTGAATGCTTGCAAACGATTTTATTTTGAATTTTTTCATCCAAATTTAGAGGAAAAATATCGATACTTCATGAATTCATGATATTTTAAATTGCTTCTTGCGAATGAGTCAGAAAGAATCTTAATTGCTTGGGGGAATTATATACCCAAAAAGAGAAATTACTATTAATCAAAGTAGAAAAATTTCAATTCTATCGAATAAAAAGAGTTTAATCTTTCTTGCGTTCAACACCAAGAGCGCCACCACGACGGCCAGTAGACTTTGTGCATTGACCACGGACCTTAAGGCCAAGACCATGGCGGATACCACGTTTCATACGCATCTTCTTCATGCGTTCGATTTCAGCACGGATGTTAGCGCCGAGATCTGTAGCAACCCAATGAGTGTTTTGGCCTGTAGCGCGGTCGAAGCGACGGTTGAGCATCCAAACTGGGATCTGGTGCTCTGTTGGGTTCTGGATGATGGAAACAATGAGCTCTTCCTCCTTTGGTGTGAGTGTACCAGCACGGCGAAGTGGGTCGAGGCCAGCGCGGCGAACAACGGCATATGCGAATCTGCGGCCAATACCAGAGATATTTGTGAGAGCAAGGTAGAGTGGGCGACGGCCATCAACGTTAGTTGAGAGCATACGGACCATATCGCGGAAAGCTGCTGGGTCAGTAACTTCGATAGGCATTTAAAAAGGTCAAGCCATTCAAGTTTACAAGTATTCAATTTTGATAAAGACCAAAATTTAATAAGGTAAATGGAGAGTATGCAAGAAAATGTATTTATGTTTGATTTCTCATAATAAAAGAAGTTGATTTGAGGATATATTGAAATAAAAGTTTACAAAATTGCTTGAAAATGTAATGTGATAGCTTCTTTTTGTTTGTTGAATAAGATCCTTCAGTGTTGCTTTTTCAGTATTGATCTAGTTTTCCCTTCCCTCAAGACTGCAGCAATCATCAAAGAAGTTTGTTTTTCCTTTAATAAATATAATTTTGATGAAAAACTACAATTCCTCAAATCATTACCTAATTTAGTTTCGTTATTTCTTGTTACAACAATATCTCAAGTATCAGCATGTAAGCCATATGCTGATTTAATTTCAACTCTAAACATATCAATAATCGAATTTCCACCAACGAAAGTTTCAGATTATCTTTAAAAACGTGGTATTTTTACAAATTATCGTCCACTACAAGATTTACCTATCGAAAAATATGAGAATATTTTTGATTTGGACGCTATTGGAGACATTATTTTAAAGGATGATTCAGAATCTCTGATAAAACAAAAATCTAAAGTTAATTTGAAAGAAAAACTTACTGAGTATGATCTATATTAGATTTGGCCGCTTTTTAGGCTCAGATGAATGTTTTCATTATTTACATCAAAATGGTTGTGAAATTACAGAGGATACCCCGTATTAGTGGAAATGCTAATATTATTGCTACTCTTAAGTCCAAAAACGTTTAATTTGTGCAATACAAAGTCATAATAATGAAGTTACCAGTAAGTTATTGTAAAGTAAAGTATCTGATAATGAATTTACTCTTTAACTCTCCATCCATTCTTATAATACAATTTCATTTTGTTATTTGTTGCAAAAAGGACATGGAATAACGGCAGAAGTGCTTGAAGAAGCATGTCATTTAGGTCATATAGTTGTCAAATAATGCAAATGCATTTGCATAAAGGAAAAACGGACACTTCCAAGTAATATTATGTCAATAATTATATGTAATAATAATATGTAATAATAATATGTAATAATAATATGTAATATGTAATTATGTTTATTTGTAATACTTCCATTTGATATTTAATTATAAGCAACCCATAACAATGTAATATTATTGATTAATAAAGCGAATAATTATACATGTCACTTTTGTGCCCTCTAGAATTCTAGAAATTTTTATTAAATGAAATCAAATTTGTAAATCGCTAGAATTGATTTCAAGGTAAGAATAAAACCATTTTTTACGTTTTTAAAGAAAGATAAGAATTTTATTGTTTTTCATAATCATCAGCATTTAAGGGGGCGCCTGGGAGGATCATGTAAACTTCAGAATTTAGAACCTTAATTTTTAAGCAATAGGAAAACTCTAAAAATATCAAAAAATACAACTTGGCTCCATAATAATCCTGTCATGGTGGCTGTTTGTATCCCCTAGTATTTTCCTCTTGAATCTCTTTTTCTGTCGAAATTAAATTCAAATCTCAGAAGTAGAAGTGAATAATCGACTTCAGATGAAATAGATTATGAGGGATGGTGTTCCTGTTTATATTCAAAGATTTAAAGGGAAGCAATATTATAGAATTGTTAATCCTGAATACATAAAACATTTATTTAAAAAGGAAGACTGTGAATTATTAAACGTTAATGAATATGAAACCAATAAATCAAAATTGAAATATAAATATATTGGAAGTTCCTGTCAATCTCCATGGGGCACCCTGAGTTGAGTGACTTCTACTTCAAAATGTGAGAATCATATTTTGATTATTAAGCAATATGCTAAAGCGTTTAAAAAAAAGTAAGAATTTTTTTTAAAAGAAGGGATTCCACTCTCAATTTTGAGTTTTAGCTCAAAATAAATGGAAATTTAGATTTGTCATATATTGAAGTTTCCAAATCCTCTTTTTATTTAAGCCAAATTTTCGAAAATTTTGTCAGAAAATTTTCTGACACTCTCACTTTTTGGAGATCTACGTATGACATTAAATAACTTTTTTATAAAAAAACGCAAAAATAATTCTGATCGAGCACGGTGGCAGACTCTGAAATATTTGTACTCCAATTCAAATTAATTTCGCGGAAAATTTGCAATTTTTAAAAAGAGTTTCAATTTTTCATTTTCTAAACATATTACGGAGATTCTAAATCGGCTAAAAGTAGTTATTTTTAATATTCATTGATATATATTTATATAAATTTCTAAAATTCACTTTTATTATATGAAATATTTTTTTATCTGGAATGTATACTTACTAGTTTGTTAACGCCATAAATATACATAATACAAATATTTACTTTATTAAATCAACAATAATGCCGATTTTGGTTATAAATGAAAATGTATATCCTCATCAGAGAGATAATATCATATATGTAGTCAACAATCAATATTATCTTATCAATTATATTGAGATATGAGCTGGTATATGCACCATATTTCAATGCTATCTAACTCAATATCTTAATTTATTTGAAACATTGAAGCTTTTATCTACATTTGCTATCTTAAAAATTTAAAAACAGATTTCATATTTTTTACCGATTGTAACAACTAATATTTTATATCTTTATGTAGAACTATCGTTAAAGACAAATTAGTGATATATTTGATTATAATAGTATTAAAAATACATGTGAATAATCTTTTATACGAAAAATCATATTTATATTAAAAGATTATCAATTGATTTCTCCAAATATTAAGCATTATTGTGAAAGATAGATCAAACACATTGTGATACTGATAGTAGAGAATGTTTTATACTATAAACACTAATAATATTCTACTATCATCGAAATTAGATTACGATATCCATAAAACATAGCTTAATTCTCGATCCAATCACGGTTTCAGTTAGTCATACTAGTATTCATTATACCCTGCTTGCCCCATTGATTGTCACCAAAAATCCAGTGTGGAAACACTTCTTTTTTTAAAAAAAAATGATTTAGACTTTAAATGATATAAATTGTATACAGTTTTACAAGGTCGTAAATAATATGAAACAAACATCAAATTTCACTCAAACTTTGTGCGGCGTGGGGCTTTTTCGCTTTCCTGTGGTTCTTGTTTCTTTCCTCCAAAAATTAAAGAAACAATCAGAACGGAGCCGTTCTTGAACAAGTTTCCAATGAATGTTGGTATTTCTTTGATTTGCTTATAGTAATTCTTGTAAAATTTGGCTGTAAGCTTGATTGTGAGTTGTCTAATATAATAGTCGTTGTTCTTTGTCAAGATGAATGTAATAATTAAGTTGATAATGTGGAATGTAATTTTATCACCAAGAATCCAATCAAAAAGCTTAAATATCATAACAAGAAATGGAGCTGTTATCCAATAGTAGCCCCATTTGATGCGAAGGCCGTTAGCTCTTTGATCTTCTTGTTCAATAACAACAGAATAAGTTTTGAGAGCTGGATATGCAATGACCATTATAAGCCATGCAAGTTTAAAGACGATGAGATAAGAAATAGTTTGAACGTCCTGTTTTGGAGTTTGTTTAATAGCAGCAATATTTACATCGCTCATAATAATTTTTTTATATATTTTTACGTGGCAAAAAAGGTGTTTTTGTAAAGTTTATAAAGTGGCAGATTTTGATTTTTTGATAACGTAAAATATAAGTCACTTTTTAAGATTTTGATATGAATTTTTCAATTATCCATCTTGCAGGAAATCATTTATCAACATCCCCACTATTCACAATGAAAAACATCAGAGCTCAAGATATTAGATTTTCAAGAATAATCTCATCAGTCTTTTATAATACGAATTATCTTAACTTATATCGTGCGAAATTTGAAAAATCATTAGCAACACCTATATATTTCAATAAATTATATACATCAGGATCAATATCATCTCGACTTTTTACAAACGATGCAAAAATAACCTTAGAGGATTGTTATTTTAATGAAATATATGCTTCAGGCAATGTAGGTTCGGCATTATATATTTCTGGTGCAGATTTTACTAATGTCACTCAATGTTCCTTCACAAAATGTATGAATAACAAGAAATGTGGCGCTTTTTACATAAATTCTACCGAATTTGAGCTTACATATGCCTGTTTTTACAAATGCAGATCCACAATTGAATGTTCTATTGGTATAGTTCTTTCTGAAATAATTGTTTGGGTAAATTCTGTGGCATATAAATGCGTACAAGAAAGCGAGGTTGTAGATTCTACACTTAAACTGATTTCCCAATCAAATACCCTTACTAGAATGAATTCTACACTATGTGATTCAGATATCAACTCTGGAGTTCTTTCTGTTGGCTCTGTCCGCATGGAGTATGCTTCATTCTTTAATAATACAGGTAGGTCTCTTGCAGCATTCCATAATGCTACAAAAAATATTGTATTAATGTTCGTTTTTGCGTTTTACAACAAAGGAAACTTGGTTGCCTTATTTGATATAAACGGAGCTATTCGTATGCGTCTTCTCCAATTAGTTGTGCAACAAAATGAAGGAAAGGTTTTCAAAATTCAAGGAATTTCAAAAGAAATTGATCTTGCAGATTCATTTATTGATGTTCCTCTAGAACCAGGGATAAGCACATCTTTCGAAGAATACTTTAACGTTACTACAGGAACTCCATCGATTCCTATTCAAGAATATGCTGTTTGTATACCAATAGATACTGATTCCGAATCTGCTAGATCTCCTCAGATAAAGAAGTATATCACTGCTGCATATATCTTCTCTGCTGTTGTTGTATTTATTTGCGTTATTATTATCGTAATATCAGAAATCAGACAACTGAAGCTGAAAAAGATGAACTAATAATAATGCTTTGGTTGGTAATCCAATTTTTCAAAAAAACAAAATTGGAGTCTAACGATATTAGTCACTATTATCGTACATTGTGTTATGTTTTATAAAAAAATAAAAATATATCTATTTTAAAAATAAATTGAAATGTATTTTGTTATTCGTGTTCCAAGACCGATTAAAAGGAATATATCAGGGCCTAAAGAAATACCAGTTTGATGAATAACTAGTGAAGTAAAAAAAGAGTGTTTTAGAAATAACAATTAATAATGAAATTCGATGTTAGAACACATTAGATAAAAACATATATGTTATTAATGTGTTGTATCATATCAAAATATAAACCATCTTTCAAATCATTAATAAGTTATTGGCACCTAAAATATGTCAATCATTATTTGATGTAGTAAACTGAGTAGATATTATGAAGTAACATAAGATATACTATACATAATTACGATTTTGAGTTTGTCATATGATTAGGGACCCATCTTGGACAGGCTTGATGAATATTTATAATAAAAATAAACATTTATAATTAAAAAAAAGTTATGATAGATTTCAGACGACTTGATTTTGTTGGTTTTCTTCCTCTTCGTTTTCACCATCAAAGTCATAGTCATCTTCTGATTGAGGTCTTCCATCAGATCCGACCAAGAATGAAAACATATCTCTGCGGCTCTGAGAAAGTTCAAATGCGTATTTCTCAACGAAATCAAGGCATGTTAAAAATTCTAATGGTTGAATTTCGTCACTTTTTCCTGATCTCAATTTTTCTGCCATTTTTAGAAATTCTGTCACTTCATTTGGCATTTCCAATTTCTTGAATCCGCAAGCATCTTCTATATATTTTTCATCGCATTTCGAAAGAGATTTTTCTAGATTTTCAACTTCACTTTGTAGTTTCTCTTTTTCATTTTGAAGATTTTGAGTTTCTTCGCTGCTGTCATTTAATTCAGAAGGTTTCAAAGCAGGAACTCTTTTTGCCAATCTTTCTCTCTTTATTGCTGTTCTGAGCTTCATATTTTGTGCAGCAATCTGGCGTGTGTACTCTATAATACTCTGATTCTTGCTGCCTGATTCTTTTGTCGAACTTTTTGTAGTTTCTTCAAAAAGTGACTGTGTAATGTCACTTTTTGATTGATGAGCTCTTTGTAATTCAATTTTCATTTGACGGCATTCTTCAGCTAGTTCTGATACTAAACCAGTTTCATTTGAAAGTTCTGTTTGTTTCTTTTCAAGTTCATCTTCTAATTCATTTATTTCCTGTTCGATTCTGTCGCTGTTTTGATGCAAATTCTGGACATCTTTTTTAGTTATCGTCATCTGACCATTTTGAATTCTTTGTATTTCGTTGTTTACAGCAACAATTTGTGTTTGGAGGCGATTCTTTGATGTGTTTATCTTTGCTTGCAATCTCTGCATATGGTTTTTGATCTCAGAAATGTCTGTTGTCGTGTTTACATGGCAAAGTTTTTCATTCAAAAATTCAAAGTCATCTTTGATTGAATCAAATTTTTCGTGATTTGACAAAATTTTTTGTAAACTTTCCAATTTTTCTTTGAAGTCAAAAGTAACTTCAGAATTATTGTCATCGGAAGGTTTAGGTGGCAAAACTTTGAACTCTATTTCATCATCAAGTTTCGGTCTAAATATATCAGGCAATTTGTTCATTGCTTTCCAAAATGTCATAAAAGTGTCAGAAAGTGTTGAAAACGCGTAAAATTCAAGCAACATGGATCTGAAATTAGCGATATCCGTTTTTGCAGTTTCAACAGCGAAGTTAACAGTTCTCTTTTCAAGTAATGAAAGAAGAGTGAACTGTTCAACGAAAGCATCAGTTGTAAAGTCAGTTATATTTCCTGTTTTTTCAGCTTCAATTGCTTTCTTGAGAATGCCTGCCATCATCGAAGAAACTTGTTGTCCTAAGTTAGGATTGACAACATACGATTTAGTATATACAGAACAAACTTGTGCCATGGATCTGGATGCCTCTAAAAAGACACTTTTTTGTATCGTTGGCACTTTTTCTTTGTTTTCTCTCAAAAAGTCGGCAAATTTTGAGAAACAAGAACCGTCACCTATATCATTGAAAATTATGAGGTTTGTTTGGTTGGAAGTGAATGGCCAGACATTCATATTATCAAGCATTGGCTTTCCTGTGAGTTGCTGCATCATTAACGCGATTGTTTGTGCCAATGTTCCAACAACCGTCAACTGAACAAGATATGGAGAAATTTTGTCATCAATTTCTAACAATTTTGACACTTCTGATATGGTTTTACTGACTCTGTCAAATAAATTGAGTGCTTTTGAAAAAGTACTCAATCCATCATACATAGACATTGAAGGAGCTTTCGAGATTACTTTGTTTAGTGTTGTTTCGAGTTTTTCCGGTGAGAAGTTATCATTTAAAACAATGATATCTGAATAAGCGTTCTCGAAATCATCGATCTCTTCAACAGTCAGCTCAACAGTGCCTCTTGCGGAGAGTTTTCGGAGAGATGAGCAGATGGCCTGTGCAAATCTGAAGGAAAGGTTGGGAACTCTGTAGCAGAGATTGCTTAATACGCCTTTGTAAGCAATTTCCGCTGTTGTTCTCTGCGCATAAGGGTCGTAAATGACGGCTAATGCTAATGCAAAAGCTTTTTCCGCGAGAGGAAGGGAGGAAGTTGGATTATATGATAACAAAGGTAATAATGATTCAATGAGAGACACAAATTTCGGAGTGTCGTCGGTCGGACTGATGATGAAATCGTATTTCTCTGGAGAAACGCCTCCATTGGGGATAAATGCGCTGTAGAACTGACGTGTCTTGGATATGAACCTCGCAATTGTATCTAGCTTGGAAGAAATTGGAGAAGAAACGGAATAAGTGATATCATCAAAAATTTCTTGCAAGTTTTGGGTTTGAAAAGCCAATGTACCGAGACTTACGATCTTTGCAAGTATTGGATCCTTGTTAGAATCCTTTGGTGGCTTAAGAATGTCTTTTACAACAAAAATATCGGGGAAATAGTTGAAAAAGTTCTCAGCCGTGGTTGCAAGATGTGAAGAAGATGTGTAATACAAGGATTTGAACACTAAGAACATAAGGCGAATCCTGGAAAAGAAATCTACGACTCCTGTATTGAATAAATCTTGGTCAATCATTTCTTGGATGGAATCAATGACTGAATCAACTGCTTCTATTATTGTGACCTTCTTGGCAGGATAACTCAAGGCAAAATTGATCAAAACCGTCGAATCATTGAATAATTTGTTTTCAAGAGCAATTTGGCCCCATAGATTATGCATTGAGTCGAGAACTGATAGTAGTATAGGGTCTAATGGTTCTTTTGCGATTAAACAAAGGAATTTTTCAAATGAAATATGAACTGCGAGAGCTGTTGTATAATTCTTAGTAGAATTGAGATGTATATTCCTTGCAGTCCTGAAATCTTCGAATTCTTTGATGTATGGACACGTAGATGGCTCTTTTTGTGAAATATAAGATAAAATTATTTTGAACAGGTCTTCATCGGATCTAGGCTCATTGTTAATTATCTTTGAGAGGCATGCTTTGTATTCGTTGAGTAAATCTGCAATTTCGTTGATTTGAACGTAGTGAGATAAATGAGATATTCTGTGTATTAAAGATACAACTTTGGGAGCATCATCTAAAATACCTAGATGAGTATTGTTAATTGAGAGTAGGGCGTAGTATAACGTCGAACGAAGTAAGATACAATTTTCTTGATATGTAAAGTTTGTTTTATGAACGTTCTTTACTTCGATTAGGGATTGGTCGTATGAGTCGATAAGATTCAACAATTGGTAGCAGAGGTTTATCTGTTCGACTTTTTTCGAAAATTCTTTGATTAATTTAAAAATTGATTGATCGATGTTTTCTTGCGTTTTTAGATACTGTGATAAATTGCTTATTGCTTTGGAATAAACTTCGGTTTGCTCAAAGCTCATTTCGCCATTAATAAAAACATTTTGGAAAGTTTCTAACATTTCCTTAATTTCTTCTGACGAATTCGCTAACTTATCGACAATTGCTTTGATGAGTGGTTGTATTTCGATTTTTTCGGGGCAAACAATCAATCTTGCAATTGATGAAAAAATAATCCAGTTATTATTGAAATTCTGCTGTTTTGGAAGATAGTCTTTGAAGGAGTCTCTAAGGGTGGAAGAATGCAAATGACAAAATGAATATAAAAGTTTTTTCCTTAAAATGAAATCAAAATTGGGAGATTCTAGGATTCTTAAAAAGGATTCAACTACTTCAAGAGGATCTATTGATTTTATGTATTTTTCGATTGATTTTTTCATCGAATCTTCGCGAAACTTTAAAGAATAAACGGCAAGTGACGTGGCATGATCAAACTCAGGATAGTTCGATAAATCAAACTCGAAATTAGGTGTTGATGTTTGTGAATTTAATGAACCAGCTGTGGATCCAGATGATTCTTTTCCTTCCATCACAATGCAGAAACGATTATTTTCCCCTCAAAAAAATCATTATGAATGTAATCAGTTCTCAAGTTTGATAATACATATAGATTTTGTATTCAAATTTTGATAACGCATGGAGAACTATAAGAGCGCATAATAGACTCTTGTAGGTCACAGTTCCGCCATCAGAATTGGTTTGCGGAAGAGTGTCTTGTTCTGGAAGGCATGAACAGGAAATTTCTCCCAAAATTACACATAGCAGCCGACAAGAGTGTATAAAACACTCTTGTCGTTCAAAGTTCCGCATTCAAATTATAAAGTGCAGCACTGTGCCGTCAATCAAAACATCTGCTTTTCAATTTTTTACTTCCCTTCTATACACCCTTAGCATTGCAAGCTTTCTTTCTCTTATAAAAATTCTCTTTGATCGGACAAATCCTATTTATTCCCTAAAAACTTATTAAAATACTCTTTTACTAATTCATTAGACTGAACTATTTTATATTTTTCCTCATTTACTTGTAAATATTTTCATGATAACAATTCCGATTTCTTTTTTGGAATAATTCATTACAACTCATTTCAAATGCCTTAAAACATCTTTGCCCACAAGTGAACGCTCTTATTCTTACAATTTTCCTTCGATCTTCTTCAATCCTAATTATATAATTATATAATTGGCAGCATAAATAATCTATTTCATCTATTCGTCTTTATGATGAGTCGTTTTTTCTTCTAAATCAGACTTTTTCAAAATTATTTTATAATTCTTTAACAATATATTTAATATGAGTTACAAATACTTTTATTCCGCAGACACATCTATGGTTAGAACTTATCTGAGTTATCCACTATGAATCGATAGCCCCAACCAATAAAAAGAATAAATAATGCTAAAAATATGAGCGAAGCAATAAGAATAACGTAGTCTTTGAAATTTACCCTTCTTTTTAGACTCATTGCTCGTTTCAAAAGAGGATTTTTCCCACCAAGTTCTGCCATATCAATTAAAGCACAAGCTTTATCAATTTCTTTATTTATATCTACTTTTGAGAATTTATTTGCTGCCATTTGCTCTGCTAAAATAAAATGAGAATATCCAGCCAACGAAATAAGTTGTTTTTCACCAACGTGTTCATAAAAAGCAACCGCTTTTCTCATAAAAGAGTTAGTATCTTCTGCTGGATTTGCTCCGAATACGTGATCAATATCTGAACAAATAGTTGCAATTTTGGCTGGTCGTTTTTCTTGTTCTAAAGCTTTATAGCATGCAACAACACCGCCATATTTTGGTAAGTATTCTTGTATTTCTGTTTTCCTAACTTGTATTTCGTTTTTTCCTGACATTTTAAAATTTTTGACATTATTTTTGTAAAATGTCAAAAAAAAAGAAACTAAAATGCTCTGTGATGGAATTGGAGGGTGAGAGGCATATAGATAGACCATGTACATCTCGCCCTTCAATTTCCCTGCGAATGTTCCAAAACTTGGTCACATTCTGATTCAAATTCGACTAAATTTCGAACTTTCTGGAGGAATATTAGTGTTTAGTAGGCTCCTATTCCTTCTCTGAAGCCGGGGAATTTTGCTCAAATAGTTTTGCATTTGGAATCATATACAAAGTCTGTTTTTAAAGTTTGATCAATAGCATGTGATAAGTACTCACTGAGTACGTTATCATGTGAAGAAGTAATGGAAAATACACTTTTATATAGAAATTCAATCTGGATTACTGTTATGATGTGAAGAGGCATATAGATAGAGCATATACATGTCACCCTTCAATTTCTCTTAGAAAAAAAATTCTAATAATTAAAAAATAAATTTACAAACAATCGCAAAATAAATAAAAATATATATAAAAAAATAGTTATTCAGATGAAGATTTCATTAATGATACAGAATAATCTTCTTCATGTGTATCATCATCTTCTTCTTCGTATTCTTCTTCTTCATTACTATCTTCATTTACATCTTTTGCTTCAACCTTTATTGACTTTTTCTTCACAACTATAACAATCACAATCACTCCAACTAAAACAATCAAGGCTGATAATGTTCCTGAAACTAAAATCACTGCAGTTGATTTCTGTGTCAAACTCTGAGAAGAAACTAAATTTACTACTTCAGAAACAGTTGGATTTGGAGTTATTGTCAATCTCTGTGTTATGTTACTCTCTAAATCTTTTCCTATGAAAATTCGTGTCAAAGGTGAAGTTTGGCTGATTGGGCAAACAGCTAAATATGATTTTGTTACTTTTTCTGTGTAGAACCTTCCAATTTTTGTTTGGTATGTTGCCATCTGGCAATAACAGGAAGGTCCTAGTTCAGGAGATTGGCAGATACAAGAATGGAAGTTTCCATTTGATAAATCAGTCAAATAAACTGAATATTCAGTATTTTTGTCAGTAACAAATGAAAACCATGAGTATTGCATGGCTTGCATAATCTTTGTGGCAGAAACATTGAAAGGAACTGTTTCTACTTTCTCTCTGCAGAGGAATCCGCGAGATCCTTCGTTGCAAATGCATCTTCCTTTGTCATCATACTGATTTGATGGACAAATTATAGAATTTTGGGAGTTACTGATCCTTTTAACTGAACTCGATGAAGAAAAGCCTCCAAGAATAGCAATTGAGTACTTTTCTTCGTATATTTCATTATATTGATTTGAATAAACATATAATCTGTAAACTCCTGCTTCGGCATCGGTCAGTAATATTCGCTCATTCGTACTTAAGCTTTCTTCAGCGTAATTTGTCTTGCTATTTGGAGATATGAATTCTCCGGCTGGAGTTTCAAGGATTATTCCGAAATCGGCAAACAATATGTATCCATTGGATGTTGACCTATCTAAATAACTCATCGATATGGATAAATTCGCTTGCTTGGATGTCTTGATTTGATAAGTATGGAAATCCCCGGATTTTAAGATAACTCTATCAAAGAACGCGGCTTTTAGGTCTTTAAATCCAAGAGCACGGCTGAGAAAAGGAATTCCAAATCCGGAATAAAATGATCTTAGTCCAGAACCATCAATTTGAATAGCGGAATTCAAAATGGTGGCTTTTATAAGAGAGGATGACGGTTTGGTTATTCCTTTATAATGGCCATCCATAAAATATTGTCGGACCAAAGCTGCAACTCCGGCAATTAAAGGTGCGGACATACTTGTTCCTGTCTTCTGAGATAAACTGTCGATGGTTCCGCCAGTAGAAAGTGCTTTGGCAGAAAAAATATGATATCCAGGGGCAGAAATATCAGGTTTAAAGATTCCGTTGTATCCTGGGCCTTGGCTGGATGAAGGATGTGAGAATACTTCATATTCAACCAAAATATCAGAACAAATTGTAATTTTTTTCCAAGATTCAACAATTGAAGCAAATTGTGCTTCAATGCGTGCGCAAACAATATTCTGAGGAGTATCTAGTGGGCATAATTCACTTGTATATAGGAAAATCGAAGCTTTTGCAGCTAATGCTTTCGATAATTCCGAACAAGGGTCATCTGTCGTGAAATAAGCCTTTCCTTCCGAAGGAGAACCAACAGTCAAAGGTATATCAATGTAAGTCTTTAGCTTTTCGTCAAGAGGGAAGTATGGCAAACTGTAATTTGGAGTTCCAACAAGAGGAACTTTAATTCCGGAGCCATCAGTGATGTAATACGCCCTATATACTGGGTATTCAAACAAATTAGATGATGGTTTGGATGTCATTCCTACTGTAAAAATATTTTTCGAATCTCCTGGAGTAATTATAGTCATTGGGCCAAAAACGTTACCTGCTGAGAATATAAATAAAATATCTGGGTTGTCGTAGGCCATAGAATCAAAGTATTGGGTAATTTCTCTTGAATATAGATTATATCCCCAACTGTTCGAAAAAATTCCGGAATTTAGTTCTTTCATATGTGAAAAAACAAGATTGAAATCCGGTAGAGCGCTTAAATCCCTTGAAATGTTGGCAAAGCCCATATCTAACATATAAAGCTTTGCTTTCGGCGCAACACCTTTATATTGGTATGAATACAATGAAGAGTTGTATGGCTCACCAAGAGCAATGCCGGCAACATGAGTTCCATGGCCATCGTAATAATCAGAATAATCTCGAAAAGCTTCAATACGAACGATCTTTCTATGATTTAAATTGGTTTTGTTTACAAGTGTGTGTATGTCTTGCGTTGGATCTAGAAAAAATTGATGATTATAATCAACTCCTGTGTCGCCAATCGTAATAATTTGATTTTGACCTTCAATACCTCTGCTATGAAGATCACGGTTTATGACATAACCTTTCATATCATCGTAAATAAGAGAATTTTCGTGACTTAACATGTATCCTGTTGAATATCTGTTATTTAAGACAAGTTGAGGGGAAATTTTAAATGTACTGACACAAAGATCGTTTTCTAATAGGGAAATATCAGTTAAATCATTAACAAAATATAATGTATTTGATAATTTTTGAATTGTAAATGGAGGATCCCAGTTTTCACATGCAACAACAAGGTAATTTTCACGTTCTGTTAATAATTTACGGGATTTTATAGTATTATTTTTGCACCAAATCGATAAAAAAGATTGAGTTTTGAAATCATGATATTCAGAATGATTTAAATACGAATAATATAGCTGAGGATACATCATCTTTTCGATTGTAAATATGTGTTGATATTTAGTCGTAAAATCAAAAACAATTGTTGAATTTGTAGCATCATTGATGAGTTGAATATAAAACCAACCGAATATATTTGAACAGTTGTTAACATTGGGTTCATTGGGATCGGGATGATATGGCGATAATATCAATTTCGGTCGATTCCCAATTACAAAAAAAAATTAGATGAAATTTTATGAAAATTTATTGATGAAAGTGTAATTTTTCAATTATAAGACATACTAAAAAGAACACCATGTGAAGCCCCAATAGTATATCGGTTAAAACATATCCTTTACACGGATAGAAGGCCAGTTCGATTCTGGCTTAGGGCATTTTTTTTCTTACTTTTTTATTTTTTCAACCTCATAGGAGGGTAGCTGATTTTATTTCCCCAGAAACAAATGAGTTAGATTTAACAACTCAATGCAAATTATTTTCGGGATTTCTTTTTAAAATAACCCAAAAATAACAACTCTAATCCTATAAATTTAAAATCATCATTGTTTTCTCCCTTGAATAATATAAATACCTCTATTGTTAAATATTCTCAGAAGATTAGAGATCATATATGATACTATGTAAATATGCATTTTATTTCATTATTAATTCTGGAAATGATGAAAAGAAATTATCAATAGATCGGAAGTTAGTTATGTTGATCATGTTGTACAATAAAGATCATTTAAGGAGGCTCGACAATCTCAATGTCAGGCCTAGACTATACTGATTTTCAGCCATTACAAGAAGATTTTGCATCGTACTAAAAAATAACTCCGAATATATTTACAAGTTTTCGAATTTTGAAGAGGAATGTAAAATCAAGATACAAATTTGATACACCGTCATAAATTATGACTCAATCAAACTATAATCGATTTAGATCCATCTTTAGATAAATAATATACACTGGAAACTAAATTATGAAGTATTTTTAAAAACGGAATAATAAAACGATTTTTTACTTGTTAGCAGCGATCAACTTGTTGATAGCTTCGACATTGCAGCCGACAACTGTGTTAATGACTTCATAGTTGCCATCGTTAGCCTTGCAGAAAGCAATGTGTGGGATAGATGAAACGCCAAATTTGGAAGCAGCATCATCGTTCTGGTCAATATCGACCTTGATGAATGTAACATCACTGTTTTCTGTAGCAATGCCTGGGAGGATCTGTCCAAGACGCTTGCATGGGCCGCACCATGTAGCGAAGAAATCAACAACAACGAGGCCCTTCTTAGCCTTGATTGTGCTCTCGAGCTCGTCAGCAGAACCGTTGAAGTGGATGATCGCGTCAGTCATCGTTATAAAATGAAGTGTTCTTGTGTAAATTACAGAAAAATTATCTCCGCGCAATATCGCATAAATATTTTGGATTTAGCATCGATAAGATGCACTTTGGCAATTAGTATCGATAAAAAGTGCGATAATATTTGAGTGAGCAAAATGTAGGAGAACAAAATATAGCATATTATAAGGAGTTTTTGAATGACCAATTATGAAAATGGTGATTGAATATTTTATTGAAAGCGAAGTTGTCAATATTTGAGGGCACAAATGTGCAAATAGTAGTAAAATAAATTATATGGTAGAAATCAATTTTGAGGGTTTTCAAGAATTAAAAGTGACACATATTTTTTCTCCAATCTGCAATTCAAAATTGTAATCAGAGGATAATCTAAAACAATACCCCCAAAAGATCTTTTAATTTATATCCTGAAGGATTAAACTGCTAACTTTTGAGTCTTTACGTGTTTATTCTGCTTTTTTATGTGATGATAAAAAGTATTGCCTTTCGATTTTCGATATTCCTAAAAGATCTTCCAGATTAGCAATCCAAATATGCATTTGAGTCAATTGACTATCCTAGTTTTCGAAAGTTAACAACTTTCTAAGTCATTAGTTTCATATCAACAGCCTGAACACTACAAACACAGCGGTATCAATAGCAGTGCCACATCCTCTATTCCAATTCATATAAAACACTATTTTGTTTCAAAAATTGATCAAAAATAGATATTTTGGAAATTTGATCTTATGATTTTTATTTACTAAGAATGTAATTACTAATTCCACATGATTGATTGAAAAATGAATCCATTAAAAAGTGACAAATATGATTGAAAGGAATTATCGGTTTCGCCCAATCACATCAATTTTGCGGGTTTACGGCTATGGGTGGCATGGTGCTCCATATTCCTCCCCACATGAACCCGCACAGAGGGCCCTGAGCAGAACCGACAGCTAGGTGGCTGAAGACTGTAACTGGCCAAAAATTTTCATTTTATAGAGTTTTACTTTTTTTTCATTTTATTGAGATCAACCTGTGATTTCTGAATCCAAGTACTTTAATTTGCTAGATTTAATATTAATCATAGGAAATTTTGATAAAAATATTTCGCAAAATCTAGCATAATACATAGTTTAGTACCATTATTATATATCAGTGCATCATAGGCTTCTAAGCTTAATAGAAAGGGTCGAAACTTGAATTAAAATGTTCGCATTAACATAAAGTTTCGATACTTATAGAGGGAATTGAAGTGTGAGAGTATGTATTGGCACTATATACTTCCCACCCTTGAGTTCTTTCTCTGAAGCTGGGAAATTTTGATCATATGAAAAACTAATTAAACAAAATTTATATGTTAATGTGTTCGCTCTTTTATGCTCTACATTCACTTATCGTTGCGGTGGATAATGCAAAAAAAATTGCCTCGTTAATTATAAAAAGTGGAATTTTCCTATCATAATACCTTCTTATAGGATGAAATTGTGAAGCCCCAACACGGATGAAAGGCCAGTTCGATTCTGGCTTGGGGCATTTTTTTTCACATCAATGCATGTTGTCAAAATGTAATTCAATATAAAAAGATAATGGCATATAGGTAAAGAAAGGTATTTATTCCATTTGATGATATTGTGGAGGGAAGCTAATAAAGTAATTTTGTAAATTTTACAAACAAAAAGAATGATTAATGCTGAAAATATCATGGCTTTCGTTTTATAAGAACAAAATTCATGATTTGTTCTTTATCAATTGGAAAATTCTAAATTATTATGAATTAGTAGTATATGGTATGGGTTGTGTGACTTTTTTTGTAAACGTAAGAATTCATACAATATTGAACGATTTTGTATCATTTTTTTTAACATATGAAGTAATAAATGAATGATTCTTACAGTTTTGATTCTTACGTTTTTGAATAAATCAAGATTTTAAAATTGACTTCTTACGTAAAATTAAAACTAAGTTATGTTTATTTTTTTATTTTTTTTATTTAATGATAAATGAGTATAACAACTAATTCATTGAAATCTTTAAAGTTCACTAATTCAGAATTAGAAAATATTTTAGAAAATTTTGGAGACGGTTCTTATCCAACATATATGCAGAATGTGAAAGAGTTTTCCAGATTGTTGAATGAATTTAAATATAACGGACCAATTACTAAAAAGGCTATAATGAGATATTTATATCCCAAAAAAAGTTGAAAAACAGGAAAATATTCCTCTTTATGGTCCAGAGAGCCTTGAAACACCTCCTGAATATTTTGAAGAAAAAATTAAACAAGATGAATATTATAACGATGAGATTGAGAAATTGGAAAAAATAAGAGATGAAATAGATGAAAAAATTAAGGAATTAAGAGAAGTTGAAAATGAAGTAGAGGGTTTAATGAATATCCCAGCTTCAGAATCAGCAGTTCAGAAATCTCATGAAGAAAGATATAAAAATTACTTTTTGGAATCTACTAAAAAATTATTAGATGGCGAAATAGATGAAACACTTTCAGAAGAAGGCACAAAATTTATTCATAAACATAAGTTACAATTTATTGACGATGGAGATTATTCATGTATATTACTTTCACCTCCTCTTGATTCTGAAAAATTCAAAAAAGCACTGAAAAATGTAACATATGCAACTAATACGATTAAGAAAGAAGATCATGATATTTACACAAATTATTATTTAAATAAATGCACAGGTGTTGATAAAGTTTTTGATTTATTAGATAAAATATCAAAAGAAACCATTGGTGCATATAAAATTTTATGCGATTGTGGTTTCATTATTGAAGATACCAATAATGTTTCATATGAAAGAACAGCACCGAAGGAAGACGAAGTGGAAAGGTCTATACCATTCGTTATTAAGAATATAAAAGATATGAAAACTTATAAACATTATATTTATTCATTTATTTCAGAAAAAATGGAAGCAACCCATAAAACATCATCTCATCATTTTATAGCTATTCATACATTCCTTTTCAAAGTTGTGAAATTAAATAAGATAGGAATTAGATTTAATGTATCAGGGTACACATTCTTGAGTAAATTAAAATGTATTCGTCACGTCGCAGATGATAAAAATTTATGTGTTCTTAATTCATTTTACGGACTTTAAAAAATAAACTTTATTTTTATTTTTTATTCTTACATAAATGAACAAAAATGGAACAGCTAAAATGAATGATAATCAAATAAGAGCCGAAGGTAGAAGGTTATTTAAACGCTTCTATAACATTCCTGATGGTGTTAATCCTAAAACTCGTAGAAGTTATTTAAATGAAGCCATAGATGTATATGAAGGATTTGACATTTCATCAGAAAGTGAGAGGTTAGCAAGAATGTTAAATGTTAATATTGATTTCTATTATTGTGATCCTCAACCAGAAGACGTGGACATAAATAAGGTAGACTTTCCATTAGTGGAATCAATAATGATAGATCCAGAATTTGAAACAGTAAATATTTTATTAACACAGAGTCCAAATGGAAAACTTCACGCTGACAGAATAACAGACGTTGAAGCACTCACCGGCTATAAAGTTTGTCCATATTGTAAAGAAGAAGTTTATTCTATCCGTGATGATCCAGAAAGGAAAAACCAAAGAAGATTTTTAAAACATTGTGAGAAATGTAAAGAAAATAATGGAAGATTAATTCAAGACGTTCAATTGCAAAACACACAACAACCATATGCACCACATATTACGAAACAGAAGATATATCAATGGCTATTAGCTCATAATTTGCAGGAATATTATAAACCAACAAGATATTATATTACTTTTGACTTCGAAACAATAGAGACTAAAGAAGAATTACAACTTTCTGAGTGTGCAACTTTAAACGCTTACTTAAAACCATTCATGGTATCATCAACGGTTAAATTAAACGATAAAACATATACGAGGAATTTTTGCTTAACTTCGAGTGATTCTTTTATTTCTGATTGGATTGAGTTTTTATTTTCAACCTGTTCATTAGTTGCTAAATCAAATATTGAACAATATGAAGAATTAATGAAGTCGCAAACATTAAATGAAAAACAGAAGGAAGCAATGAAAGAGCTTTTAGATGAGGAATTCAATAAAGTGAATATCATTGGTTTTAATTTAGGAAAGTTTGATTTAAATTTAATTCTTCGTGATTTAAATACTGCAAAATGGAAGATAAAATCAATGCTGGGTTCTTCTTCTCAATTTAAGCAAGTCATAGTAAAGAAAACAAACGTTCCATATGAATTGAGATTTATTGACATCAGAAATTATATAGCGGGTGGGACATTAGACCAATTCACTCAAGATTTCGGAAATAATAAAACACGTGTTAAATCCTTTTTCCCTTATCAATTCATCACGTGGGAGAATTACGAAGAAGAATTATATAAAGAGGAACCATTCGCTCAAGATTCATTTTATTTAGCATTAACTCAAGAAACTATATCAGATAGTGATTATCAAATATATCTCAATGATGCTAAAAACTTTAAGAATAGATTAGAATATTTTATTCATTATTGCAATAAAGATGTTGAAATTATGATTGACCCAATTGATAAAATTATTGAAGAAACATTTGTTTATAAAATTGATATGCTTCATAATCTTTCTTTATCATCGAATGCTTCAATGATTCGTTACGCTTTAGCATATAAAGACTTTAATCCTAATGAAAAATATCCTGAGGAAGAGATAGAATCAAGTTTTGAATTAACGAAAAAGTATTGGAAATATAAAATTGAATCATATAGGAAACAAGATAAAAAAGCAGAAAGGGATACTAAAAATAATGTTTCAATGGATGATTTTCAATACTATCACGATTTAATCCTTTCATCTAAATGCAAAATGTGTGGTAAAGTGTTTACATATGCAAATAAACCAACATTGGATAGAATCGATAATGAAAAACCACATACCAAAGAAAATTGTCAGTTAATGTGTTGTTATTGCAATGTCGTAAAATCAAATAAAGATGAAGATGTTCAACGTTTAAGAATCAATTTA